ATTTAGGAGTTGCAGAGTTTAAATACAAGAGTTACAAACAACTGAGTATTGATGCAATGAACCAAGACTGAGTTTAGGCCAAGTTCATTCAGTTTTTAGCTGTTATTTTTTAGAAGTTTTGTTTCAAAATTAAAATCAAAAAAATATTCTAATTTTTGTTGGACCAAAATGCCCTTATATCTAGCCTATAAATACATAGCTCATTTGCCTTCTCAACTCATCCCAACGCTCACAAATCACTCTCAAGTGTTTTAAGTTGTTCTCTCATTTCATTAAGCTTTTTCCGATCAGAAGGGCAATATCATTGACAGTCCACTCTAATTTCGGGTGTACAAAATTTCAAAGCGACCGTGTTAATCTTAGGGGATGATCCGCTTGACGCAACGATTACACACATTGAGGCGAATTGTTTCTAAGGAAGTGGTTTTACCACGATACGATTTACAACGATCATATTATTTATTTTTTTGTTTATTTTTCCAGTCAGTGCTAACAGTGTGATTTTGTAATCAATATTTCCATCAAGGTTTGGGTCACGTAGGGGTATTTCAGGTTTTGGCTTTATTCAGGCTTATAGTAAGTTGGGGCAGTTCGGGTATCGGGTTAGGTCAATATCAGATATGTTGATTTCGGGTCAGATACATCAGATAGGATGATTTTTGTGTCAGATCAATATGCGATCAATTATTTTCTATTTGTGTCAACTTTGGATTTTCAAGTGAATTCAAGTTGAGTTGGGTATAAGTAGAATTATTGATATATTTTTGTAAAAAAATGTGTATTTTTTTAAATCTTATCATTTTTGTTCAATTTCATTCAAATTCAATTATCATTTACGGATTATAATTTAATTCAAACTCGACCAATAAGGTATGTTAGAATTTGTGATATTTTTGAATTGATCTGGACTGAAAAGTTTATGGTACAATCTATCTGTTTAAAAAACAAAATTTTTAATTACAAATTTTATGACCTATTAAAATTTTAAATTAGATATTTAACGTTTAATTATAAATATAATATTTTTATTATAGTTAAAAGTAATAAAATAATATACTATTTATGTTTGAATAAATATTATTCTAATATATTTATAAATTATATTATATTATATTATTATATCAACAATAATATTTTAATTTTGAATTATAAATTATAAATATAAATAGATATCTTTATATTGTAAAAAATAAGTTATTTGTGTAGTATAAAAATAAATTATTTTTAAATTAAATCTAAATAACTATATTTTTCATATACAAAAGAATTAAAATAATTTATAAATTAATTTTAATAGTTTTGGAAAGTTATTTTTAGTAGTTCCAAAGTAAAATATTAAATTAATAATGAATTGCATCATATGTCCCTCAACCATGACTCTCGTTACAAATTAGTCTTGAAACTTTTAAATACTCCAATTTCATCCTTAAACTATGACTCTCATTCTAAATTAGTCCTTAAACTTTTGAACATTTAAATTTCATCCCCAAACTATGAATCTCATTCTAAATTGGTCCCTCAACTTTTAGATCTTTCAATTTCATCCCCAAATTCATTCAAATATATAATCCATTTCAACCATAGTTTAACCTAAATATTATTTTTTTCAAACATATAATAATATAACTTGCATAATGGTTTTATTAACAAGAGATGTGATTAGTATAATATAATAATTTAGGATAAAATTGAAATTTTCAAAAAGTTTGAGGACCAATTTAGGATGAAGATGACAACTTGGGGATGAAAAAAATGTTCAAAAGTTTGAGGACTAATCTAGAATAATAGTTATAGTTTAAGGATGAAATTGAAATGTTTAAAAGTTTAGGAACTAATTTGAAATGAGGGTCATAGATTGAGAATATATGATACAATTAACTCATTAATAATTCATAATTTGATTTAAATAAATTGAAACCCAATTTAATAAGTTATTTTACTATTTAATAATTCATAATTTGGGTAGTTTCAGTTTGATTAGGGTTACTTTAGGTTTGGCTAAAATTCATATCGATTTGGTTCGGTTTTTTCGGGTTTCAGGTCAAATTTGGATCACATGTTTGGATCTATTTCGGGTCTCAATTCGGGTAATTTAGTTTAAGTAATCGGGTTTGGGTTAAAATTTTTCAGGTCTATCTAATGGTTATAAAAAATGCTTATTTTTTTCAACAAATTTAAATTTTCTATTTTTATAAAGTGAAGGGGCATTTGCTGAATGTATGTATATCTTGAATATTGATCCTTTTGCCCTTTTGTATGATTGTAGGCAAAGGTCGAAAAGTGAAAGTGCACTAAGAGTGAAACTTTTTTCAGCTTTTCAACCAAACTATTCAAGCCTCGGCTTAGCCATCTTTCTTCTGCCAACAGAATCACTGACCCCATTTTTTTTATGAACCATCGGTAACTATATATATACGCACACAAAAGCTACCATTTTTTTACTCTCTTCTTTTTCCCAAGTGGTGAGTTAGCTGGTAGATAAGGACGCCAGCTAGACAATATTTATGGTTCTTTCTCGAGTGAAAGGGATATCTCTCACTTTATATATATACTCCCTATAAAATTCAAATTCAATCATTATGTAGGAGACCATTATGGTTCTTGCAAGTGGATGCAAGTCCTATCTCATACTTTTTGAGTCCTGTAAGGACCCTAATCACCAACGGTTCATGTATATTAAGTATCTAGCGTTTTCGCCCTACACTTAACGTAAGCTCAGTTAAGTCTTTTTTTTTTCCCGTCAAAATAACCTTCCAATCAACATTTCCAAGCTCTTTTTTGTTCTCACTGGGATTTGATTGCTTATCAATTTTTACTCCATTGCACACGTAATAACCCTTCAAATGCTTAATCGAGGGGTTACGAAAATCTATGGAAACCCGAAGATTTGACTGAAAGGTTAAACCACCGAAAGATGAGAAGTGGTCATTTTCACGGTCGAATAAGCAACTTGAATGCTTTTTCCCCTTGAAGAAGAAAAGGAGAAAAAAGAATGGGGATATGGCGTCTGATCAATTTCATTAAATTCAATTCCACCAATATTCTGCTTTATTAGAGGTGTCGTGTTCCTCAGTGTCGTCCAATAAATCCAAAGTGACGGTGTGAAATTGGATTCAGCTCTCTAATGTAGACAAACGCAACTTTAAATACAATATTCAATAGCTATTAATTTATACTTATACGCCCGGCTCCTACCACCGAAAATTAATGGAATTTGGCTCAATTTGGATAGCTACAGGCAGCCCTTCAGCATTGATTCAGTCTCAAATAAATGAGCCTTAGATTTGGTGACTAATGTGACAGATTGATGAGGGTGGCCCTTCAATTTATAGTTATACTCGACGTGTCACATTAGTTATTAAAGTGACCTATTTTTGTAAACTAATCAAATCAAGCTTAACTAAGAGCAAATATGTTCGTGTTAGAAAAGTCATGTTAATATGTGAATGATATAAAAATAATAATAATAATAAAATATCATTGTAAAAATTCACAATTAATACTTGCAATGACTGTAATATCATTCTTTATGTCCGTAATAGCAATAAATGAAACTCGATTGAAATCACAAATACAAACTGTAATTTAAGTCCCTGTTTAGGGGCCTAATTTTTTTACCCAAAGACCACCAAAATTTTAGAAATGGGTCTGCACCACTCTTAAATTGTTTTTCTTCCAATGTATGCTAGGAATACTTGAGCTCTCCTTAAATGTCGCAAATACATGTACAAGTCTAAGAAATGAACATGCATCCATCTTAACTTGGTTCGTACCTTCCGTCAAATTGGACGATTGTGCTTGTTTTTCTAACAACCCATTCTTCAAATGTACCTACAAAAATATATGAACATAATTTAGGACTCATTAAATAATGGCACAAAAACTTATACAATTTATGCAATATATAAATGTACAGGAATGGAAGACATATAATGATGAAGGAATGCATTAAATATGTAATAAAATGCAACATACTAATCATACTACTAATTAATAATAATATAACACACACACATATATATATGCAACACGTACACACACATATATATGCAACACGTGCAACTATAATAATCAATTAAATAAACATGTAGCAATTATATATAAAAATGTACAAATATGTAATTAAATAAGTAATGACAAATACTAAAGATATAATCATGCATATAATAAATGTGTATTGAAAACATGCTGATTATATAACTATAATGAATGCATTAAGGTTTCTCATGCTACACGTTTGCATGTTATCCAAGAAGGCCATGGTTCAAGGTTCGCATCCTGAGTTGAAGTAATCAGACTTGTGACTAAAGTCTCTTGGCATGTGATTGAATGTTTGGGTCGTTTACAAGCTTTACTGATGTGAGCAAGATTCCACGAATTTTGTCATCATCCCTTATCACATCACTAAACGTGTCATATTTAATATACACATGCCCTTAATATGTTTCTCAAAACTACTAGTCTCTAGGTTTAGGACTTAAATAGGGAAGGCTCACTTTTTTTTTTGGCAGGTTCAGGGCTTAAACAGGGAAGGATCAATTGTTGTCTTAGGGACATAAAGATAGATTTTTGAGATTTAAATAGGGTTTGTGTTTAAGGGGATAAGGTTGAAGATACGAATTTGATTTTAAGTGGAAGAGTGAGTAGCTTATATTTTGATTGAAACAAAAATCTATAGATATTTTTCAAGTAAACATTAAAAACATAAAGCATACAATAAGCTTGGAAAAACTACGTGTTGATACACCCAAAAAGCCCATGAAATTGAATGAAAAAGTTGCTTCATAAACTTTTTATTGGGCTTTAGCCCAGGGCTTGGTCAAATCTTTTTTTTCAGTAAACATCAAAGGGAACATTGAAGTATTTCATCACTGGTCTCTTTTATGGTCCTTGTGTGTTAAAGGGAGATCTAAAAAGGCAAAAGTAAAGTGATGAAACCACTATTTAAGGATGAACAAATGATTCACCCAGTTTTTCATTAGCCGACATATACATGCTACCATCAATAAAATTCGAACAAAAAGAAGAAATGGTACATGCTTTTCATGGCAGCCAAAATTTTCTATTTGGGTATCTCTCCGGTAAGCTTTCAATAAAAAGGGAAAATCAACAGAAGATGGTATCCACAACCTTCAATTTGTTAGCAATGGAGTAGATCTTAGTAGTCGGCTTCGAGGAAATTCACGTATTGTGTCCCATTTAATGTCTTTACCACATCATCCCAGTTCTTCACAAAATCCGATAACGGACCTTTGTGAATTTTAACCTGCCGACTAGTCAATTCCATCTTCGGAATACCTAGAAACTCTTGAACATCTTCTAGTTTCTGCGACAAGCATTGAACAATGACATAAAGTTATGAACAAGGTACTGCGTATCGCATAGTCTAGGACATTTTGCTAAAAGTTGTTGAAGTTCAGTAATACTGTAAATACTTCATGAAAACATGTTATATCCTTACCGTATTGTTTGTAATGAGATCCTCGTAGTACAAAACCATGTGACGGGTGCTATTGAAGTATTTTATAGCCTTGACAGCATCCATCTCTACTTCTTTCAAATCACTTATTAATGATGTTAAGTTGATTATCGGCTTGTATCTTGAGAGAGCGGCCGCCTACATCGAGTGACTAGCAATAAGTTTGAGATTCTTCAACAATGAAAAGGCCAAAGAGCGCACAGAGTGAGTCTGTGGTGGGATAGGGATAGGGACAAATACCTCTTCCTGTGAATGAACATGAGACTTGTGGGTTCCATTTAATAGCTTGGCATAGCGATCATATGAATTCGCAAGCAGAGAAACCATTCTTCGAAGCAAATTTCTTCGAAAGAGAAATACAACAGAAACTCCCCAATGATTAAAGTATTCTACTATTTCTTTATGGTTCACCATCAGTCCCTGCATGAAAATACATCTAGCAGTTAGCTATAGACCACAAAGCAGCTCCTGGGATTCAAATAATTTCCATCCATTATAAAGGACAATGACTATCTTCAGTGTCTTACGCATGGCTGCTTTCATGGCTAATCACTATTACAAATTTGGAGAATCAAAAATTAGATATCTAAAACTAAGTACAGTCTTCTCGGCTGTCAAAAAAATGTACCATTTTATCAGCTGATCCATACAGATAAACATACAAGTGAACAAGAAAATTTGAACAACTTTGCCAAGATATTAAGCCTGAAATTCCATCATAATTTGATTCAAGGACAATTAGAGTTATCTAATCAAAGGCTCACCAATTCTTTTTCTTTCAGGAAGGGAAATCATCAAACACTTTTTTAAAACTAAAAAGATAAAGGCATCATATCACATAGGAACACAAATGTATACAATTGTATTGGCAAAATTAACTATACATTTGTATACCTGATTCAGCATCCACTTGAAGCCAACAGCAGCAGAACACTCATTCTTGGAAGCACTATTGAACCAATCTAAACTGTAAACTCTGTCTAAAGTCTGTATAATAGTCGAAATGTTTTTCCTCCTATCCACTGGAAAGAATATCTCCCCATTTGAGCTTATATTGATATGGCTGTTTAGTAAAGTCTCAAACCATCCACTTCCGGACCTCTGCATCGACAATATGGAAAAGAATCGTACCGGATTTTGTGTGCATTCACCCCTGGCAAATTATGAATAGCAAAATATAAGACAACTGAACTTAAAAAAAAAAACACTCAGACAGAAAGTATTCGTGTTTACCTGCTAAAAGTTTCAGGTTTAGGGTAGTGCAAGCTAGGAATTTGAGCTTCAATTTGTTCGATAATGTTACTATCTGGAGTTGGATTCTCTATGACTTGGAAGTTTTGAAATTGGACTTTGGTAACAGTAGTTAACTGCTTTAAACAAACTGTACAGACATAAATACCACACACTACAGCAAACAAGAAAACTACTGTCCTTAAGAACAATGGAGATTTCTTGGGAGATTTTATAATTAGAGTATCCTGCATAGAAAAACAGCACATATTTAACCCAAATTATTTTGAAATTTATAGAGATGATAAGAGGAGGTTAAAACTTTGACATGCAAGTAAACAGTTTCAGTAGAAAATATTTTAAAAAATATTTACAACAGATGTAAATAGCAAAGCTCAAAGGTAAAGGTTCCTAGAAAAGAAAAGTGGGGAAAATAGAAAACGTGAAAACCCAATTAGTAGTTTTAACAGAGTCATGAAACAGAAAAATAATGCAATGCTGGTTTTAATTTTAAACAGGTAGATAATAGTTATGCATAGAACTCTAAATTTAAGCATACAAGAAAGTTCGAGAACGAGTGAAGAGAAAAACCAGATCCAAACATGCAAAGGAGGTAACATTAAAATTATCCTTCAAACCCATTAAATATTTTGTTCACAAAAACAGAAATAAGAACTTGATAAAAGAAAATGTTCGAAATAGAAGTCAAGAATACTCAAATAATTTGTTCAAAAATTCGAACTTTACTATCAATCGACATAATCCATGGCCATTCGACAATAATTTAAGTCATTTTTAAGCATTGCAAAGAAACCAAGTACGAAGTCACCAAAGAAAAAGAACCCATAAAGAAAAATGAAGTGAAGTTCAAATGGTACCTTGTGAAACAAACACATGTACTCGGCCATTGCTGTTTTCGCAGAAGCTGAAGCAAGAAAGAAAGGAGGTGATTAAAGTACATATAAATTCAGATAGCATAAGAAAAAGCGGAGGGTTCATTGGGACTATCCATCTTGTTTCCCTTGTAATCTCAGCTACTGAAACAATCCAAAGAAAGGCATAAAACCAAAGAAAGGTAGAAGAAGAAGAAGAAGAAGAAACCAAAGAGCCTAGGCAAAATCCTTGCGAAGTATGGAGGGGAGCCGAATTGAGCCTTTCTTTCTCTTTTTTGTTGCATCGTGGAAAACAATGACACGAAAGAGAAACATACGGCTTTTTAATTGTTTCCCTTTTTTAAAATATATTTTTCTTGTTTTCCCTTAGTTTTCACTTAAAATATATTTTTTTCTTGTTTTGCCTTGGTTTTAAGATAGGTTAGGACTGAGCAATGAATTTGAGAAAATTAAAAAATTGATTCGAAATCGGCTATTCGATTTAGTTCGGTTTAGCTTTTTAATTTTTAATTCGGTTTTAGTTCGGTTTAAAAATAAAATACAATTCGATTCAGTTTCGAATTTTTCATATGAAAACAGTTTGAATTGAATTAAATCGAATTAAAAAAAATAAAAAAATAAGTATTCAAAACACATTTATTTTTAATTTATTATAGTAAAAATTTAAATAAATAAAATATTAAAACTAATCATATTTTTTCATAAATTTAAATTTATATATTTGCACTCGATTTAAGCTTTAAATTTGTTTTTTAAGATGAGTTTAAAAATAATGAACAGTCAAAAATTGTCGAACCGAACCAACCCGAACCGATCCAAATCAAATCGAAAACCGTGGTTTTTATGTCATTCTGTTTCGGTCCCCAATTTTAAAAGTCCGCAAAGTACGGTTCGAGTCATATTTGAGTGAAAAATCGAATCGAATCGAACTTTTAATATTTATATATCTTTATTCATCAAATTTTAAAATAATCACATTTCGATGATTTATGCTCGATTTATTAAATTTTAACCATTTATATTATTGATTGTTATGTTTTACTCACCCAGTCATTAACTTATATTACTTTGATGGCATTACTCGTTAGTTAGAAAAGTTCAATTTTTAATTTCACTCTGAACTTCATATACAATGTTAATTTAATTTTTAATTAATATCATTTTAATCTCTAAAATTTAGATATAATATCAAATTAATCCATGAATTCTATCAAAATCTTATGTCGTCGGTCATCAGTAACCATCACCATCGTAGTCAATCATTGTCGATCGTCATCATCAATAACTATTAGAACATCAAATTTATAATTCACTCATTTTTGTCTTCTTAAATGTATTCGTTCCACCGATAAAATATCTCAAACTCAACAAATATAGCTCAAACCCTTTAACATCATTTAAAATTAAATCAAAATAATAGATTTATCATTAATATTCCTTTAAAACTAAGGACAATAAATAACTAAATCTATAGTATAATCAAATCCATAAAAAATTATAATATTTATATATTATAATTTTTTGTAATGTTTATAAGATTAATTATGAGTTTTTAATAATAATAAAATTGAAGATGTGATAATTATTATATTATATATATATTGTATGCATATATGTTATATAAGCGTGTAATATTTACATTTTAGTATGTATATAAATAAGTAGTTATTAATTAAAAACAAAATTAAAAAATAATTATGATTTTATAAATTTTATGAAACTATCATTTATACTTTAATTTTACTATATTTATATAGTATTTATAATATTAAAATAAATTAATATAAGATTGAAGTTATTTATTAGAAACTTCAATCCAATTTTAATATGAAGTAAATTAATTCACAATTAGAAAATGATGTATTTGATAGTTGTAATAGTTAAGCAATGACATTGATTTTTACGACTATTGGGTTCAAAATTTCAAATCCTAAGAGTTGCAATTTTTAATTAACTTTTCATTTTTCTAAAATATTGAGCACTTGTTACCCATAATATTTAATATTATATATATAAGAGTTTGTTAGCTTTATCGAACAATCGAAAACCGTCAAGAGGGGTGAATTGACCTTTAAAAAATTATCGTGGAAGCAATTGAAAATAAAACTTTTGCACAAGGAATTTAGAGTGGTCTGACTTCTAAACTAAGTATGCATCCACTACTTTAGCATCCACACTAAGGATTTCTCAATCCACTAGATTTAATAATGTGTTTGCACAATTTAAGCACTCATTCAAATCACACTTGTTTACACTATTTCCACAAGAGGATTTACAAATAAAGCAAACAAAGATAAAACCTCACAAGGTAAATGTGTTTGCGCAATTTAAGCACTCACGTAAATCACACTTGAGCAAATTTAACAATGTAGCTCACAAGTGTGTTACAAAGAATTTGACAATTTTTGCTCAAACTCTATTGACGTTGGTTTGATCTTGCAATTGGTTTTCTTATTGTTCTCCATTTGAATCTTGGTCCATTTAAGTCTTCTAACATCATTCTAACCGTTTGGAGCCGTTGGATTCATTAATTTTGAGCATTTAATGCTCATTTGTACATTTGTTATCGATATCGGGAAGTTGGTATCGAGACCGACCATCCTAACGGTCAAAATTATAACCGTTGAACCCTTGGTATATAAAATGTTTATGTGAGTATCGATACTCACCTACTAGTATCGATCCCAAAAAGCCTACTGGAATATTGGTATCGAGACTGGAATGTTGGTTTCGAGATTGACATGGATTTTTGGCTAAAACAATGTTTAGATCTTTAAAACATTATTTATAATTTATAAAACTACTGAAGAACATTAATTATTATTTTTCACACTTATAAAATGCTTGAAAATGGTTTTTGATAAATCATTTATAAAATCATAAAATGTAAATTTTAATAACTTAAAACATTTAAAATTTCATGTTATATCAATATCAAAATTTGGTTTAATAATATCTCCCTTTTTGATATAACAAAACCCTTTGTAAAAATTTGATTTAAAAATTATTTAAATTATCATATTTTTGTGAAAAATAAAATCTCCCATTTGTAAAATAATTTTTGGCTAGTAAATTTTGCATTATACATATTTCTCCCCTTTTTGTTATAACAAAATCAAATTAAGCTTTAAAAGATAAAATATGATAGTGTAGTAGGTAACTCAAATATTCAACAATGTAAGATGAGATCAAATTATTCTTACATATAAAAATAAAGTATATAAGCATAAAGTCATCAACAAGAGTAGTTCAAACAAAAGTACCAAACATAAAGCTACATAAAGTTCTAAAATAAAATCCATAAAGTGCATAATCCTAATCAAAATGCAAATGTCCTAAAATAACATAGGAAAGTATATTCTTCTAGATGTGGTAGCGAAGGAAAGGGAGGAATCAAGTGTTGACATATTGAGTGACCGTCATTCTCAAGCACGTCCAAGCGACGATACATAATAGATGTGTGAGCACTCAAGTTCCCAATGCTTTAAAGAATGTCATCATACATAGTCTTCATGGAAATCTCCTCTTGAGGTGGTGGCACCGGAGGCTCTTCCATTTCATTTTCTTCTTCTTCAATATTGTCTAAGAGTTGTCTTTTATAAGGACTCCACACGCCGAAATTTCCATCAAAATCCCAATTGGTCTTGTGGGTCGATTTGAGATCGATGACACTAACAAGAGGAATGGGGAGGTCATAGCTGGTAGACACTTTAAGTTTCTCCCTAAAGATGTAACTAAGAATACAATCGTAAGGAATAGTTTTGGTGTAATTGATCCCTTTAAAGACAACATAAACAAGGTCTAAGAATATGATCATGGAAAAAATTGGACGAATGTTGTTCTTGACATGATAAAACCACCAATAGTCATAATCACACATATGGGTAGTTTTACCACCGGAAGGACGAAAAACCACGTAATGAGGAGCAATAAAAGACGATCGGAGAACTCAAGGGAGGTAGGGTTATCATTGGGAAATCTCTTTATTGGAACATATCCATTGCCCTTAAAAGGATTATCATCATCATGGATATTCAAGTGTGTAGCAATGGAAGAGAGACTTAGAGTTAACTTTTCTCCCATGAGGTATGATTCTATCCCAATGACTTTATTCATATCATTTTCCTTGAGGACAAGGATATCATTTGAAAAGAAGGTACAAATAAGGTTTGGATTGGCCTTGGAAGGAATGCTAACAAAGTCTAACCAACCCCATGAGATGAAGGTTTCAAAGATGATGAATTAGTAAACCCACAACAATAGAAAGTTGGGATCAATAGTATGTTCGGTTTGGAGGGATTTTGTTTTGAAAAATTGATTAAAAAGATTGAGTGTATTAGGGTCCCTAAAACAAGCATTTTTAAAAGATAAGGAACTAGAGGTTTGACCCGAATGAGTAGTACCACTAGTCCTAAGATGTTTTAGGTTTGTTCTAGGAGGCATTTTTGATAAAATTAGTGGCTAAGAGAGGAATAAATTTAATTGGGGAATATAGACAAAAACTTGGTGGATAGCCTAAAAAAAAGGTTATAAACAAAAAATTGTGAATATGTTATCCTCCTACAATGAAAACAAGCATAATATATCCCAATAAACCAATTAATTTCATCAACAATGTTCAAAAAATACATAAATTTGAAGAAAAAAAATTCAAAACCTTATATACTAATTTTTTTAAAAACAAAATTTGTGAGAATCATGATATAATCAATGTAAAGGTGTTTAAAAATGTATATAAACCATTTTAGAAACAAAAACATATTAAAATTACGATTCAAAACATTTAAGAACAAAATAATTTGAATAATGGGAGTATGAGTTTGTTCAAAAATTAACTCCAATTTTGATTAAAAATTATGATGATGTTGAAGCAAATCCACTAAGGATGATGAAGGAATATAGAAATGGGCACGAATTTGGGGTCAAATGGAGTGAATATGTGAGCTTTTGAGAAAGAGAAAATAACCTCAGTGACCGAAAATGCCTTATAATATACGATTTTGACCAACTTTTTTTCGATTTGCCAAAATAACCAACAAAATCGCAATGCGATCTCTAAATCGCAACGCGATCTCCAGTATCGCAAATCAGTTTCCAGATTCGCAACGCAATTTTGACTATCGCGTTGCGATTTTAGAAAATCGCAATGCGAATATGTAAATCGCAACGCGATTCTGACTATCGCAACGCGATAATACAAAATCGCAATGAAATAATA